TCGCATGAAAATAACTTTGCTTTCCTCTTTCTTTAAAGTATTTTAAAACTTTAAAGTATAATAAAATATGAATTTATTATACTATATTAACTTATAATAAAAAAGGATAATGAATAAAAAAAGTACAGTGAAATTTATATATGCTGTCCTTTCTATACATCGCGATAAGTTTTTTAAAGCAATTATAAAACAAAAGTACATCAATATTTAAAACAAACTTACTGTTCATTGGATTTTACGATTTCCAACAATCTATTGCCCCAACCTTTGGTTTATATGACCAAAAGAACTGTTTGGCAGCCTGTCTCATTGTCCATTGATGATTTTTCGGGTTTGTGAATGTGAAAGTTTTTCAGTCTCTGGCCTCTGGTAGCAACCAGTAGCCCCTCTGCGTCGGCATCTTTGCTTGCTTCCTTTAGCAAGTCTTTCGCTTTTTTCTCTTGTCTTCTTGCATAGTTTATTTCTTTAATTGTTTTCTTTTTAATTTGACCAATCAAGTGTTCGTCATATTACCATGACACTATGACAGTCCGCCATTTTTTGAGATCAGTGGGAGGTCCACCCTTGGTCTTGGATCATAGCCAGACACCCACGATGTTTGATGAACTTCACACTTCGCTAATGCTTTCCTTTCCCCAGGTGTAAATAGGCCAGGTGATCTCGTGTTCGTATTTTAGCCAATCAGCGCTCAGAAAGGGTTGTCCGAATAGAAATCCATTTTGATGTATTCAGTCAATTATATCTTTCGTTATTTTTTATGAAACTAGTTGAAATTTTGTAATTATGTTTGGTTATGAGAACTATATATGGAATCGAAATAAACTATATTACAGGAGATATTCAGTTGTTTCAATCATAAAATGGATTTCTATTTGATAACTAGTGCCAGTACTTTTCCGCGTATCAAAATCATCTGGTAGCTGAGTGGAATTAGTACCCTTGCCCCAGGCTAACGCCTGGAATAAAGTAGGGTGCATCTGGGCGCATTCACTGATTGCATTGCCACTAGCCTGCGAACAGGCTCTCATGAATTTGAATATCTGCCCCCGCAACGTTCGTTTTTCCAAATATGGAATGTCTATCCTTATATGGTGTTGTTTACAACTTTCGTGCAAACTAAATTTAGACCGTGCAAACAAAATTTAGAGACTTTAGACCGTACAGTTTATACTGTTTTTCGAAATATAAGATTTCAAGCAAAAGTTCAAATGTTTTAAATACTGTTTTCTCGAAACAGAACATTTCATGCTCTGAGATAAGATGGCCAAGACCAATTTGATCAGTTAATGTGTTTTCTATGCATAGTGCTTCAGCAGTTGACATATATAGAGCTCAGCGAAAACATATAAATTATAGCATCTGACCAATGAGAATTTCGCGTCACGATTTGAGACGCAGATATTCAAATTCATTAGTCATCAATGCAGGCTCTCAATTCAGCTTGAGAGCCTGTTCGCAGGCTACAATGCCAGTTTGCCACTTGAAGGGTTAACAGGGTGCATGGACAGATTGTACGTCTGATTAACTCATTGGATGGCGGCACTCTCCTCGTGACGAGTAAAATCGTCAAGCATTGTAGACAGAGTAAAATAATAAAGTAAGGCGCATTGCTACTTAAAGGGTTAATGAGTTGTTCCACAACAGATCCACACAGCCATACTTCACATACAGAGAAAATTTCTGCTATTTGGAGCGGGGGAGTGGAAGTATATATACTTCTGATAATAGTAAAGTGTACCAGGACATCTGAAAGAGAGAGGGGGTTGACTTACAAAGTCCTCTGTGGGGTGATTTAGATGTTTTCTGAAAGGACCCAATAGACTACATAGACAGGGGTACATAGTTTTGTCAACCAATTAACACCCAACAATTAAAATGGTCTGCCCTGAACTGACATTAAAAAATAAAAAAAAAAGTGTACAGGATGTAGGCATAATTTGTACTGCTTCATTGGTTAGCATTTTAAAGTTACCTTTAAAATTTGCCCTCCATCGGGATAACGACCCAATATATTTACAATATGATCAGTAAGTGTGGGTTCTTTCTGACCAAACGGTTTCCTAATATCTGCTGAAAAAACAATGTCGTTAATACTTTGATGATAATAATGTTAATTCTTTCCACTACAGGTACAGTAGTGTTCTATGACATAGTTTAATTTTCTTGCTCATATAAATGTCAACATTTCTGAAGTTGACCACTATCTGCTGCCCTGATCTAAAAAGATATTGATGGGTTGTTAGGAGTGCAATGAGCAAGAGCCATATACAACCTATAGGAACTTCAAACACTCATTAATAATTCATAAGCTTCTTTAATTGGCAAATCATTTCAACCATAATATGTCATATATATATATATATATATATATATATATATATATATATATATATATATATATATATATATATATATATATATATATATATATATATATATATGCCAGTACTCTGCTCAGCTGACAAGACTTCATATGTATAACAAACAGAACGGCTACGTTTGAAGAAGTTTATTAAAAAAAGGTATATTAGATACAAAACTAAATTTTCGGCTGCATGCCACAGCCTTCTTCAGAGTGCCTAGCTTTACACAGAACATACTTATATTTAACAAATATAAAACATTTTCCGTGTTGATATACAGTTATATCAACACGAGTGGAAATTGGGAAAACGAGAAATTGTGTGGAAACACGACGCCCGAAGGGCGGAGTGTTTTCACACAATTTCGAGTTTTCCCAACTTCCACGAGTGTTGATATAACTATATATCAATACAGAAAAAATGTTTTATATTTGTTTTATAATATAGCAATGTCAAAAGCCCGAAGAATAAGAAAAATTTCCGTGTTACAAGCGGCGGAAAATTTCCCGTGTTGACATGGAGTTATATCAACACGGCTCTTAGCCAATCAGCGTTCAGAATTTACAAATGCTATATTATAAACAATAAATTATGAATAAATTACTATTGTTGGGCGAAATCATGACTACCATTAAGGCCTTTCCGGTTGGTCAACAACATTCCTATCCAAAAGTTTTCACTCTTAAGTACTTCACTATGGTGTTGATCAATAAGCATAAATTTTAAGCTCGAATGATCCACCTCATGCACATCAATAAAATGATTAGTTATACTGCATGTCCGGCGCTTATGCTTAATGTGTGATTTGTAGTTAAGCTAGTCTGGACTTAAAATTGGCAGTAGAGCCAACACCTTGCAAACCACAAAGCACAAATATATATATATATATATATATATATATATATATATATATATATATATATATATATATATATATATATATATATATATATATATATATATATATATATATATATATATAATATTAATTTATATATATAATATTAATTTATATATATTAATTTATATGAATTTATTAGTTCACATCAAATAATATAATTAAATAGTTCACTATAATTTAATATAATTTTATAATTTTTTTTTATTAGTTCATATATAATTTATATGAACTTATATGTTCATAATATAATATATAATATAATATAGTTTATATAATATAGTTTATATAATATATAATATAGTTTATATAGTATAGTTTATACGAATTTATTAGTTCACATCAAATAATATAATTTATTAGTTCACATCAGAGTAGTGCATTAAAATTAATCGTTACAGTATATTATATGATTTATCGCCATGCAAACGTACAAAGAACTTAAATGTTTAGCTGTTGGAACAATCATCTTAGTTATTCCCTGTACGATACCATTTACGAAAAATTGTAGCAGTTCGTTATACACATGTAGGTAAATTCAGAGCCTTTTAACTCCTCGGTTGTAACAAGTTGAATAGCAGTTATCCACGTGTTTGAAACGTTCTACAAATTTGTCGCAAGAGTGGATATCAAAATGCTGTGCATCCAGCGACGATGACATCGCCAGAACTGTTGATAAAATTTTATAAACAATCATGACTACTTTTAAGTTTACGATAGTGTAAAAATAAAAATATGGTACGACTGACGAACGTTATCATGGCTATTCAATACATGTCAGGTTTTTCATTATCAGCTTTTAGCTTGCATGCTTTAATTAAGTTTTGCGACGGCTGTACTCCTTTCCTGGATTTATAGGAAACCCTTAACTTTGGATTTAAATTTGGGTTTTCGTGCATGTCATATTGGGACTTAGTTTAGTCTATTACATTTCCATTAAAAGAGGGTCTAGATGGGG